CAAAGCCCCAGACCTCAAGACCTTCCACTATCTAACTTACATAAATCAAAGTATGGGTTTCTTAGTAAGAAGAATGACAAAATCTTGTTGATGAAAAAAGAAAAAGGAGGATTTCAACTGCAACTTTAATAAGTTGAGAATTTTATATTGTGGCTTTGTGATCAGTTTAAGTCAGGATAAATCAGCACTGAAACGTCTGTCTAACCACTCAAGTCACTCACACACACACACATCCCCCTTCCTCCTTGACCTGGCACTTCAGTGTTAACAGGGATCAGGGAACCAATCTGAATGAAAAAAGTCCATTATATTAGGTTAAGTTTTATCCCAGGTTCATTCTCTGTGCATCCTCATAGCAAATGGGATCATAGTCTTGAGGCAGTATGAAAAAGAGCGCAGCACAGTGACAAAATTAACCTGCCCAAAAGCATGATATTGCTGCTTTCAGCAGCACACTAGCTCCCTCTGATCATGAAACTATGGTATTAATGGGTACTAGAAAAAAAACAAAATATAAAGCATTTTTAAGCACTTTGAACTTTAAAAGCACCAACATTATGTATTGATTTAGTATTAACTTTGTATTTTTGAAAACAGTGACCATGTATCTGAAAATAACACGATGAAATAATAAGTCAGCTTCGTTCCCCTGCTTTGTTGCATGAAGACAATTTTTATTATTTTTTGTTTTCTCCCACACATGTTGCTCACCTGAGTACCCTTTTCCTGTGTTTGAAAGTGCTTTTAAAAGCATGTGTCGAGGTACTCACAGAACATGTCTGTTAGTTAATGAACATAAGATACCTACCTGGCTCAATAGCAGCAGATATGAAAGACTGGGCTTCCCTTACTCTCTTCATCACTTCTTCCAGTTCCTTGGCAGCAGCTTGTGGTGTCATTTCAGGAGGCTTCACTATTGCATTATTGGAATGATTTATTCTAAATTAAGAAAAAATAAAACCTTTAACTCCCAAATTCTTGAAAAGGAAAAATTAAAAACTCAACTTCCATGTATGACTAAAAACTTCAAAGTTCAGCAAAACTACAGATTTTTCCTAACCCTCATCTTTTCTAAGTATTTGATATGTCTGTCTTTTACTGCTTTCAAATCTTATGACTTTTAAATAATTGCAGCACAATATTTGTGCTAAAATATTTTCTAGTAGAAGTCTAGAAATCTATTTCAGATCAAATTTCTACATTAATATCTACTAATTACATACACATCATATATAAAGCTTAATTAGTATAAAGGACTTTACAGATTCTCCCACTGTTATGGTTTTCGCTAATTCAAGATTAGATGTAGAAATATTTTACTCAATGCCATCCATATTCTTCTTGGAAAAAGTTATGCACAACCTTGAAATCTGAGTTCATAAATTCATTCCAGTCTACTAACAATAGGTTCTTATATTGAAAAAAAGTTAAATCACAGCAGTTTCCTGCACATCAGATTCATAAATATATAAGGATACTAAGAAATCACTCATTCGATATTCATATGGATAATTAATTTCTTACTTCAGTGGCCTGTCTCCAAACATAACTCCATTAAAGGCAAGAGCTCGAGGTACAGAATTTTGGTCTGCAAACTCCACAAAAGCAAATCGTGTTGGTTGTGTCTCATCACCTGCCATTCGCACAAATTTGACTTCTCCAACTTGCTTAAAAAATTCAAGCAGTTGATCTGCTGTTGTAGTCTAGAAAGAGTCAAAAAGTTCAGATGAAGCAAAATATATAATAAAAACCACTTATCCAACATATCAGATAATCTAAGAGCTACAAATTTTGGAAAGACATCTCATTATTATTCCTACACAGGTGACATGAATTTGGCAATGTTACACTTTAAGAGAGAAAGGTATTCCATTAATCTAAAAAATATACTACAATTTAAAATAGTGCAAACACAAGCCCTGAAGTCCTACATCTAGGTTAAATAAGTACTTGCACAGAAGTTTGCACTTTTCAGACAACTTATTTGAAATAACTGATCATACACCTATGTCTAAGATACTGATTGTGAATTCTGATCAATTAAAAAAAAAAATCCAAACAGTATTACAAGATTTCATTTTTATCTGTTTTTCTTCTAGTTTCAAATTTGTTTTATTTTATTGCTATCAATAGTACTTATATACTCTTAATAGCTACTTGGGCAGTCAAAACCTCCAAAAATCAAATACTTATATTTTCATCAGTCAAAAGCAAATGGTTTTTCAATTAATTCAATCAATTGCTGAAAAAAAAATTTTCTGACAGACCTAACTTTCCTGTCAGAGCAACTCAAACATATTTATGCTAATTTTACAACTTCCACTAGCATAAATCATTTCTTCTTACCGTATGTAACTGCACGGTGTTGTGGGGGACAGCTACCATGTTCTCATGACTTCTGAAGCATTGTTCAGCTAATATAACCCAGCTGGACACATGAACAACACACACAATCATAACATGTTTCTTGAATTCAGTTGCAGTGTGATTTCCCTGGTTTCCTGCTAGAATGAATTCCAGTCTGGTTTGATCTGACTGGCAAAGGAGCATTCAAGAATTTGAAATATCTCTAGTAACCAAAAAGAGTATTTTTTGGTTTTAAATTTCTACTGGCATCAAATAATGAAAAATCATAAAATGTAAGATTCTAAATCACAAATTACAATTCTGCATCTTCCATTAGTATTGCCACAAAAAATAAAAAAAGCTACCTGTGAATTCAAGTTTCCAACATAGACTGTTCTTCTAATTTCATCAATTTTGGATGGGTCCACATTCCCCATAATTGGTGGCTGTGGTATTTCTCCCAGTGCCGTAATGTTAGGATCCAATGCTGCTGCTGGTATAGCCCCCAATGTGCCAAGTGAAACACCAAGCTGGAAAACATAAAATTAGGATATGTGTTGGGGCTTGGCTAGCAGAGGAGCTGTAACTTGAGCAATGGTTAAAGGAATGCTTAAGCAATTAAAAACAAGACACACAAAATAGGTCTTGCTGACCTTGTTTCTATCTTCATGCATTCCTGTGTTTTCTATCCAACACCTTATAATGTTCTCTCCTGCTGCCAGGGTTTTTAGGTTTGGTTTTAGTTTTACTGCCTTATAGATAAGTCGTCTTGCTAACAAGCTAAGAATAGTGCTGTTATTTAGATTCTCATAGACACTGTGTAGCTCTTGTTATGTTTCCCAGGATGTGAGAGCAGGATGCAGCTTAAACTTGTAACCTATCATAAGTAAGAACTGTACGCATTGACAGGTTAAACAACCAATCCAAAGTTGTGTGATCAGCGTGTAGCTGCATGTATGGGAGACATTTTACTATAAATACTGTTAGGTGCCCTAAATAAAGTCGGCTATCAGAGCATCATAATGGTGCGCTGTAGTCCGTCCCTCACAAGGACCCCAACAGATATGCTTTGCAACCAAGCACTGGAGGGAGACACTTCACCTTCTAATATTTGCCTGCCTTCTGCATTTCTGTAAAAATAAATCTAATTAATATAGGTAAGACTTTAAACTGTAAGGTCTCAGAATTGGGAATTGAAATCTCTCCTGGGGAATGTTATAAAAAAAGTAACTTAAAAACGACTGCTAAATTGGTCTGCCAAGTTCCTGGTTTGAATTTTATTTTCTCCACCCAAAAAAGCAACTGCCTTTCCAGCAAACAAAGTTTCTAACAAGTGTTAGATATTCTCAACAAGCTACCAGTAGTTCTTTTTATCTAACAAAACTACTCTCTTTACTTGAAATAATCCTCTTATTATTGAACAGAGGGTTATACAGCTTGATTTCCTCTTTGATATCCTAAAATTCATAGATAATTTGTTAAATATGTATATAAAAACAAAGTGAATTTACCTTAGATGGTTAGTTTAGAAACAAATGTCTCTAAACACTACTACACCAGCCCTGTTTAATATCTTCATCAATTATCTGGATGAGAGGATCAAGTGCATCCTCAGTAAGTTTGCAGATGACACCAAATTGGGTGGGAGTGTTGATCTGCTGGATGGTAGGAAGGCTCTACAGAGGGATCTGGACAGGCTGGATTGATGGACTGAGGACAACTGTATGAGGTTCAACAAGATGTGCCAGGTCCTGCCCTTGAGGCACAACAACCCCATGCAGCGCTCTACAGGCTTGGGGAAGAGTGGCTGGAAAGCTTTCTGTCAGAAAAGGACATGGGGGTGCTAGTCGACAGCTGGTTGAACACGAGCCAGCAGTGTGTCCAGATGGCCAAGAAAGCCAGTGGCATCCTGGCTTGTATCAGAAATAGTGTGGCCAGCAGGACCAGGAGAGTGATCAGCCCTCTGTACTTTGCACTGGTGAGGCTGCACCTCAAATACTGTGTTCAGTTTTGGGCCCCTCACTACAAGACACTGAGTTACTGGAGTACATCCAAAGAGCAATATAGCTGGTGAAGGGGCTGGAACATAAGTCTTATAAGGAGAAGCTGAGGGAGCTGGGGGCATTTAGCCTGGAGAAAAGGAGGCTGAGAGGAGACCTTATCTGTCTACAACTACCTGAAAGGAAGCTGTAAGCAAGGTGGGTGTCAGTCTCTTCTCTCAAGTAATAGGATGAGAGCAAACAGCCTCAAGTTGTAGCAGGGGAGGTTTAGTTGCCAAGCATTGAAACAGACTGCTCAGGGAAGTAGTTGAGTCAACTCTGGAGGAATTTAAAAGACATGTAGACATGGCATTTAGGGACATGGTTTAGTGGTGGACTTGGCAGTGTTAGGATTACAGTTGAACTCTATGATCTTAAAGGTCTTTTCTAACCTAAATGATTCTATGATTATTTATGGTTCATTAGAAGCAACTATGCAATGGAAACATGAGCAAACACATTTTTTAATGAAATGCCTAAAATATTACTTCACATATCAATGAAAGCAGTATCACACATTTTAAGACAAAAAAAAGCCAACTGTGAACTAAAAATTATTTTCAAAGTTATCCAATGTTTCTCATATGATGACAGTTATGAACCATGAACAGAACTAGCCTAAGCCCCTAACAGGTGACTTTGGGAGCACTGTTTCATTATATAAGTTGCACACTTTAAAACAGATCTTGGAGCACAAGCTTCAAAAAGGATACTGACCTTTGTGCGGGTTTTTGAAATAGCGCAGAAGAAATCAAACTCGGTTAAAGCAATGTTTTTATAGAAGGAAGGAAAGAAGGAAGACACTAATATATTCATTTCTTTTAGGATGCTGATCGGTATCACTAAGAATATAAGAGTGGGAATAATGTTTCTGGTCATAGAGACAGATGAAGAATGATTTAAGTGCAGATAGGTTTGAGAATCTACAGGACACCCTTAATATCAGTCAAAAATCCAGGATGGAACCAGTAACAACATCAATACACGCATATGCTGGTTTTGGCTGGGGTAAAGTTAACTTTCTTCACAGTGACTAGTATGGGGCTGTGTTTTGGATTTGTGCTGAACACAGGGTTGATAATAATGAAAATGCTTCTGTTACTACTGAGCAGTGCTTACACAGAGCCAAGGCCTTTACCACTTTCTGTACTGCCATGCTGGCAAGGAAGTTGGGGGTGCATGGAAGGTTGGGAGGACACACAGTTGGGACAGGTGACCCAAAATGACCAAAGGGATATTCCATAACATAGAACATCATGCTCAGTATATAAGGTGAGAGGAAGAAGGAGGAAGGGGGGACATCTGGAGTGATGGCATTTGTCTTCCCAAGGAACCGTTACGCGTGATGGGCCCTGCCCTCCTGGAGATGGCTGAACACCTCCTGCCCATGGGAAGCAGTGAATTAATTCCTTGTTTTGCTATGCTTGTGTATGCAGCTTTTGCTTTCTCTATTAAACTGTCTGTATCTCAACCCATGAGTTTTTCTAGCTTTTACCCTTCTGATTCTCTCCCCCATCCCACTGGTGTGGGAGTGAGCAAGCGGCTGCATGGTGTTCAGTGGCTGGCTGCCTGGGGTTAAACCACGACACAGTGAAAGCATTGTCAGGCTAACAGTCAAAATCCATGTCATAGAGATATCATGCATTCTATTGCAGCATTTTAAATATTATGAAGAACTCTGTCAATTTAACTGTGATGTTTTAACAATTTATTAGGAGGTAGAT